GCAGAGGGCAAGTATTTAACTCCAGAATTACAGCCCATCCACAGCAAATACAGGCATTTTTACTTTCAAAATTAGGCACTTCATGTTCTTTTTTTTTTTTTTTTTTTTTTTTTCCCCACAGAAATTTACTCCATGATATTATAATATTGATGTACTTTTATACTAGTATCTCCATAAATCTTTTTGGATATTAAATGGCATGTATTATATTGACAGTGTGTTGGAAGTGTCTTATCAAATTGTGTAATAACAATAATCCCTGCTCTTTGACTGAATATTTCTTGATCAATGGAAGAGAAAAGGCAAGCCTTGGATTAATGTTGTAGACATGAAGGACATTCAGACTGCTACTTCCTTCTGGGACTAAGCAGACTATAGGGTTCCCTATGGACTCTCACCACACTTTGCCTGAATTTCTTAGCTGTGCTTGTGATATTTTTTTTTTTCTCTTTTTCATGACTGTATGTGCAAAGGGTGAGGCATCGATGATTTTTTAATAAGGTGGGATGATTGTTTTACCATATAGGATACTCTCTTGCCATGTAATTGTGCCAGAAATCCTGATGAATTTCTCCAAGGTAAATATTTTTTCAAAAGTGTAAAATTAGCAAAATAATCTACATCACTTTGGCTTTTAGACCCTGGCATGGAAATACACAATAACCGTATGAGGGTAAATTGATGAAAGGAAATGGTATAGTCACATTCCTGTGCAGTCTAGTTATTACTGGAAACAGTCATGTAGTGGGATAAGCTCCATAGGGTTATTTGGTGCTTCAGTACAAAGATTTTACATAGGCTAAACTGACAATATCACATCTGTTCTCCCTCTGTCTGTCATCATTTAGGTAGCTGTAAAGATCATCCAGTAGTGAGTCCAGTGTGCTGTGAAATAAAGTTCTTTAACACAGTAAAACTAAGCACATAAAATAAAATAAACTTCCGAGTGATTAAAATGAAAACAAAATCTGACCATAAATATACAGTATGCCTGTGGGAAACAAGGGTACCACGTTATGAACAAATACCCAAGAGAGGTTATCAGTCTTAACAGTATGCAGCATGCACAACCACATGCTGAGGTGGGCATGCAAAAAGACAGATACACAAGAATCCGCTTTAGGTAGCTGCAAAATAAAAAAGGTACTTCCTTGGAACAGCTCCTTGATCTGCCAGAGTAGTTCAGGAAATATAAATGTAAAGCAAGCTTGCAAACATTGCAGAGAAAACAGGGGAGGAGTGGTAAAACAAGAGAATGGCAACAGGGAATAAAAGAGAGCAGATCCAGTTAACTTAGAAATGTGTGTGCTACATACTAAAAGAGTGACCAACTAGTGTCCCTAAAATCCATCCACATGTCTAAGGATTTGGCCTCTCTAAGGGCAAAAAAAAAAGTTATGAAAATCAAGTTAAAGTTTTCTACTAAATTAGAACCTTTTCTCCTATCAATAAAATATAAAAATATGAATTAGAACACTAGAAATATTACCCAGAACAAAATTCAGAAATATAAAATAAATTATCAAATGCATGGCATAGACTATATCCATGAAACTAGACAAAAGAAATCACTGGCCTTCTGTATCAGAAAAGCTATCATTTGGAGGAAAGGTGGTTCAGCAGTCCCTCTGAGAGATGGTCACTTATCACATGTATGTTAGACAGAAAGTCAAAAAATATTCTTAAGCTCCATACTTCATTAGATAAAATCAGAAAGCAATTTTTTATTATGTGTACAATAGAGCTCAAAAGGACCATCTGTAAATATCTCAGCAGAATCCAGGGTAAATCACTATTGCAGTCATGATATTCATGAGATGGACTTCTGGTTTAGCAAAACCTATCTGAGATTATGGCTAACACTGCACTGATATCTGTTGTGAAGTATTGAGAACCTCAGATACTTTCCTTTTATAAAAAATAAAATAGAAGTCTCAGAGTTAATTGATATTGATATAATTGTTGTGATTTACAGAAGGACCTTCATGAAACTAGTTAGAGACAAATGATGGCCAGAGAAACAGAAACAAAAAAAAAAAAGTTAATGCTTCATGAAGCAGCTTTGTAAGTATTTTCCCTTCTACGGCTTCCTGTGAATGTTGTGTACAGTTTACATATATTTCATTAATTTCCTAAAGCTAAAACTGCAGTAACATGACAAAACTTTGAGTAAATGAACAACATTTCAGCCTCATTTGTTAAAATCAACACAAGAGTATTAAACTGACCTCAGACTGTTCAGGCAACTGTCAAAATGTATTAATTGATATATTTTGAAAAGTGTATCTAATTGATGAAACCCAAGGACCAGAGTTTTAATTATTTGATCAATATAAAATGCCATCTTAAATTGTCTACTTTGTTATAAATCTTGCACATAGTTTATTAACGTAAAATAATCTAATGTTGCCATTAATAAATATGAATTTTTCAATTATACACATAATTCCAAAGATACTATCAAAAAATAAATACTAAACGATATTGTTGTCACTGACATTATAAATTAATATATTGTGCCTAAAGAATCTGATGAGTGGGGTATTGCTCTTCTAAAGTCAAGAAGACAGAAATTAAGATTTGCTGTAAACAATCCTACAAAAAAACAATATACCTATGTGAAGGAAATTTATATGAGAAGAATGTGTTTTTTCTGCTTCACAAATGTCAATATTGGGATTGACAGAAATGACTCCTGGTTTGAAAATATTGTGGTGTCAAAGTGACTGTAATTAAATTCCTTAGCTGAATTACACTCAGATCTCTTTGTTTGGACAATGTAATTTATAATAAAATATATAAACTGATAAAAGGATAAAATATAGCAGGCTTTAAAGCTAATTGGATATTAGGGTTATTAAAGGGACTTTGTGTGCTAGTGTTTTCCCCACATTTATCTATTCAAGAAAATGAATTACCGTAATATTTCAATTCACAAAAGCCTGTGTGAAATGAGCACGTTGCCTGAGAAAGGCAGTAATAAAACACTAACTGAGCAGCATTTGGTGGTGCTCTCCTCAATGATTTCTATAAAGAGCACAGAGCTGAGCATGCATGGCCCTTATCTTGCTTTTCAGAGACACAGCCTGGATGTTCTAGCATTGCCTTTCACAGCTTGTGGGTTGACTAAAGCCTGTTTTGAAGGCAATGCTTTATTTTACCTCCCACAAAAATATGTCAGGCTCCATCACAACAACCATTCACAGCATTTAACTTCAGACATCGACAAATGACTTAGCAGGTCAAAAAGTTGCTTTTCAGGTCCATAACTGGACTATTGCAGACCCTAAGTTAAGGGTCTATCCTCTTCCTTTTCATGTACAAATCAGATGATTTAAAGTGCTTTAAGACTTATTTCCACTTTATGACAACTCAGGATGCTGCCCTAGCTGTTCTCCTTTAAGTCTACCTGATCACCAAATAACCACTGAATATTTTTCAGCTGTTCTACCTATGGTTTCTTAGCACAACTCTGTCATAGCACACTGAAATGACACAAGGCAAACATTGGAAGGCAAGCACAGTCAGTCATGTCTTTTATCTTCTGAAATTCAAGTAACTACAGACTTCCATCTCTATCTCCCAGCTCCCTTTCATGGTCTTCCTAGTTTCCTTGCAGCTGGAAAGGTCAAAACTGAAAAGCAATCTTCCCCAAGACTCCATTCCCACAGCATGTCTGCTCTGCTTTAGGACAGTGTCAATCAGCCCAGGGAGCCATCTGGAGAAAAGGGCTCTGACATGTGTCAAAGCTGCTAGCAAATGTCAGGAGAACTATAAGAGCGATCTTTAAGATCTTCATGGAAGTCTTTGTGTTGTGATTTATTAATGTTACAGCTGTGTAAAGACAGAAACTGAGTGAATCACATCTGGTACAGGGGGTTATTTTTAAAATAAAAGCATAACTGAAGGTCTCTGGAAGGTTTTGCTAACCTTTCTACCACTCTGAGCCTAGACCTGTTTATATCTGTCTGTCTTGAAAATTCTAGAGGTGATATAATACCTTGATCTCTTTTAATGGAACCCCTTATCTTTCCGTGTCACCCACTGAGAACAGGCCATACAAACCCTCTCCTTCCAAAATCTCAAGCTTGTTCATTTTCCCTCCACAAAAATCTGTGTCTTTCATCCCGCCATTTAGAGAGTCTCTGTTTCTCAGCTACACCCTTAGGACTTCCCAGCTCTGACTGGACCTGGGCATGTCAAGAGAGGACCTGAGCTACAAGATAGAGACAAGAAAACACATCCAATTCAGAGAAGTACTAGGGGAGAGTTTCTTGAGTAAGTAACTGACTAAACAAAGCTTGCAAGACTTAGTGTGTTCTTAGTCTATCCATGACTTCATAAATATCATTGTTTATCATTCCTAGGACTATGTCTTCTCTATAGTATGTCCTCTTGAACTGGATTTCAGAAGGAAGAGTATCCATTAAATAAGGTCAAGGTAGATTGATTTAATATTATGAGATGATGCTCAGTCATCATCAGGAGCTCTAGCTTCTTTTTTTGGATAAGAATTAAGTGTCTGTGTTAAAATAGATGAACATGGAGATGTGGGAAGAGAGAAGATAAAGCACAGAAGTGAAGGATCATCTAGGATATTTTATATACCGAGAACAACAATGGCAGTTCTATTTTTGAAGCGTTCTGGGGTTAAGGCTTGCTATTTGTGGGGAATAAAACCAATAAGCTATTAACAAAAAACTTCTTCCTCTTGCATCTCAGCCAAAAAAAAAAAAAAAAGTTTAGCAATTTCTACAGCCTTAAATTGACTCTACTTTTAACATGACCTTAATTTTAATTCATGCATTGTAGACAGAAAATTAAAAGCTTTAATAACACAGCCATTAGCTCTTATGCTTTATTAAAACTATTTGCACACTCTTTGTTGCACTTGTGAGACCTTTCAACAATACAAAACACACTTTTAATACATAAAGGAGCAGAAACTCTCAGGGAAACAGAAGAATATTAGAACAGAGTTCAATGATGTAGGAAAGTACCTGGATAAAAATCCCCTTGCGCAAACATGTCAATCACATAGCGACAGAATGCATATTGATCTAACAGAGCAAAAAGGAAAAAAAAAAAAAAAAGAGTAATGAAGAAAGTAAATTTAAAATCTTGTTTCTATTTAACAGTGAAGATAAAGCTTGGCAGTGCAAAGGCACATTTCAGGGATAGTATTATAGTATTGTTTGGATTTTTTTCATGGGCTTTAAATAGCTCACATGTTCAGAAAGAAACAATTTATTGTCCAGATCTAGTTCAAGCCTCCCAGTAAAGAACTTCAGAGCTACCAATGCCCCAGCGCTACCAACTCTTCTTCTGGGAGGCAGGCTCAGTGTGCGCCCCAGGTCAGCAGTGCACAGCCTCTATTTTGACAGACGTCCTGACCTTACACACAAGTACTGTGCAAACTGCTGCCTGGCCACAGGTCCCAAAGACTTTTTTTTATCCTTGAAGATCCATCTAAAATAGCCATAGCCAGGTTAGAGAAAAAACCAATAAAATTTTATATCACAGTATTTTGTTAATATTGTTTTAACAGTATAATCAATATGTACATTTAGTGAATTGGAATATAAAGATAACTCTGTGTACTTACACTCTTGTAGCAATGAGATTTTCCACAGAATTTTATCATTTCACTACAGAATTATTTTCCAAACACTAAACTTTACAAATGCATATATATGTATATATTAAATCTGGATAAATATATGTATATTAAAACTATGCTATTCAGAAATTAAGGCTTCTGAATCTAAATAAAACTCTGATTTCAGAAATGTTGATTGCCTATTGATTCCTCCTATACATAAGCAGATTTGAGGACCTTAATAAAAATTTATAACAATAAGAATGGTGAAGAAAAGTTATGAATTGTAACTGAGTACTAAAGAATTGCAATATTATTGTTGAGTTCTCCAGTTGGCCAGAAAAAAAACACATTATCCCACTGGACTCTAAGGGACATTAGCTTTAAAAGTTAATGTTGATGACTAAATGCCAACTCTGGTTAGATAAGTTAGTTCCCAGCTGTCCTTGAGTTAAGCATATTCATCCATCTGTCCTGGACTGTTCTAGCCCAGTTCCTAGGCTACAGAAGTTACATCTCTTCCTTTCTCCACCTCCTGTTGCATCTCTCTCCTACTCACCTACAAAGACACTTTATTTTTGCCAACTTAAGAACAAATAGAAGAAAGACTTTGGAATACTTTAAATTTTAAAAATGGCATAACTCTTATATTTAACTGCAAAATACATTCCCAAGTGTATTAGCACTCATGTATTATTTGATTTCTTACATAGTTTATTGGAACATCAGTGTTAGTTGATGCTAAGGCAATTATGTGACTGCTACTGTTATATTGGTTGCCATAGAAGTCCTTGAGTGGAGAACTGAAGTTTTTAAGTCATGATTCCCTACACAGTTGCAGAAATTAGGAGAGGGTTTACAAGCTCAGCAAATATCCAATTGTTTCTACTAGTTGATAGGAGCCAATGCAGCTATTTCTTGTTACTGTGATGGTGAGGGTAATACTAGTCATTATTGTAGAACCTGGGGCAGACCTTTCAGGACTTACATAGGGCTGTGGCTATAAACACTGCTTTTAAAACCTCTGACTATTCATAGCAGTTTCTACTTTCATATTTTGGAATTCAAATGTATCATTCTGGCTGGCTCCAGTTTTGGATTCCATCCTTAAGGAATCTAAAAAATTTGGCTGCAATATCTGCCCTAAGTATATGTGCTAATTTTCTGAAAAAAGTAGCAGTGTATGTGTGAGAAAACAAGTACAAATCTGTACTCTCAGCAAGCTCATCTAAAGCCACTGAAGTCAGCAAAGTGTTTGCACTGACTTCAACACATTTTCAAATATGGCCTCAGTGAGTATTAATAAATAAAATAGACCAATGCCAGTTCTTTAGCCCAGAAAGCAAATGACAGGGCACAGCTCTTGCCCACAGAGCTGAGATTTTTTTACCTATCTTTTGCCAAAACAAGCTGCCTTCATCCATGCTGCCCATTGGAAGAGCCCCTGGACCATTTTGAAGCACTGTACAAAAGCCTGGTAGATGGCATGGGGCAAAACTATGTCGAGGGACACAAGCTGTATGGACAATCACAGGACAGAGCACAAGCCTGTGCTGGTTCTATTTAGGTTATGACATAGACACAGCCTGAGAGCCTAGCAGCTTGCACCATTTCATTGATATTAAAATAATCCAATTATTATTTATTAATTATTAAAATTATTATTGAAACACAATAATATAGACCAGGATTATAATAGACTGTGGGTATTTGTGTTGGGGTTTTGTTTGTTTGTTTGTTATCTTGGTGTTTCTGTTTGTTTGTTTGTTTGTTTTATGTTGTTTTTTTTTTTTTTTTTGTGGAAATATAATTTGAACAAACTTAAAAAACCAAACCAAACCAAAAAAACACCTTAATCTTTATTGTACCCAAGAAGAAAGATTTCATATTAATCTTGGCCTCATAGGATTTCTTTAACAACTCAATCCCTGAAAACTGGGATTTATAAAAACAAATGAAGGCAATATGTTAAACTGAATAACAAAAATAGCATTTCTACTGTATATGAGATAATAAAGTGCACTGTAAGATCTCATTGAAGTTCATGGGAATTTAGCACATCAGCAAATTGAAACCTAAGAAATTTTAAATGAATATGATTTTCTAAATGTCTCTTCATAGCTAAAAATTCCTTTTAATTTAAACCCTCTTGTTAAAAAGAGAATTTCTCACTATAGTTTTTACCTTTAAACTCTGTAATATTAAAATATTACAAATATTCATCTGAATATTAATAAATCATGTAAAAGTTTGGGACTAGATTCCTGTTGATAAAAACAGTCATAGATATATTTGTCGTTGGACCTCATGTGATGTACCCTGGGAGATGACCTATCTTTTTAAATTTTAATTTGAGTAAGGAATGATGCAACAGCAGGGAAATCATAACAGCTCTTCTGTGATTACAGCTATATTTTTTATGCTGTTGCAGAAAAGCTGGCAGAACTACTCCCTTGAGCAAGGACAAGTAAGGATTGCAGGATCAGGAAATCTTGGCAAAACCACATTGACCTCAAAATTACGTTCACCTTGGGTCACAGTGGGACTGAAATATAGAACTGAATTTTCTGAGAGTATCCAGCTGGGCAGCAGAGGCTTACGGTGGAAAAAGGAAGGATGAAAGTAGAAAAGGCAGCTTTCACTGAACATGTTTATCCCTATCTCCAGCGATAAGCACAGATGAAGAGGCTCCTTCCTTCCTTCAATCCAGCTGCTCATTCCCACTTCCACCTGCCAGGGTTCAGTGCACAGTCACTGGGATCACATTCTAAAGCTGACTTACAAAATGATCTGTTTCTGTTTGATGTTAAGATGGATCATCTTCCTGGCATTTATCAGCTAAAGAGGTGAAAATATCCCACAAAAACCAAACCAACAAACAAAAAATCACCACCACTCTCTATGGCTCTCTGCAATCTTTGACCTCTACTTACTTAAAATATTTTGCTGTCAGGGAGTAAAGTACCTCATCTACACACCGTTGCTTCTCCTGAACAGTATGGATCCCACTGTGCACTGAAACTCTGTCAGAGCAAACAAAAACTGAAGGAGATTTCCACCTCCCAAGAGGAGCTTAACAATTTGCTGAACTTTCCCCTTGGTCACAACAGTCAGCTTGAAAGATGTTGCTTTGATTTTATGCCTCGAAGGCTCCAATATTTCAGGTAAAAACAAAAATTAACTAGAATATAAATAAATGTTAAAAATTTCTAATTCAGCACACTGTGCATATCAGAAAACGGACCATGTCTCAAAATCTCAGGTTATTAGAAAGGTATAGTTTAGGCAACTCCTAAGATGTCCAGAGCTGATGGTTATGAAATTCCAAGAGAATCTGCCCAGGTAGATTCAGATATCCAGGCAGGGATGGCTGCTACGATGCTCAGGCAAAGTGATTTATCTGTGGCTATCAGCTGAAAGGACCAGATAGGTGTCCCACGCAACACTGAGCTGCCTCTATTAATGTCAGAATAATCCTGTGCCTGCAGTGTGGCACCTTGTACAGAGAGGCAGGTCCTGTTGCCTTCATTCGTACAAAGTTGTACCTAATGCCATGGAAGAGGCACAGGGAAACCAGGGAATCAGTCTGTGTAACTCGGGAGTAGAAGAACCCAGGCTGGCTTGGACAAAAAGGAGTGTATATTTAACACCTCCATTTGGTGTTGATGCATGTTGTTTCTTTGTTTTATCATTCAATTTCTTCCTTTCACCAGGGTAATGGCATTTCTTTCCTTTTTAGAAGAAATTTGGAAGTTGTTCACATCAAATTGCATCAGGCAGGTATATCATCATATCAGACAATACATAACAACATGACAATGCCTCATATAATCTGATGTAAAACAAATTATTACATTCCCTTTCCTCTGCTGCTACTTTCCTTATTGCTATGGAAGATATATAGATATGGAAGATATGGAAGATATGTAGAAACCAAACAAAATTCCCAACAGTCCATTGGATGGTTTATATTTTCCAGAATAATTCTGCTAGTAATGTATTACATAAGATGCTACTGAGAAAATCCATGAAAACTCAGGCCTATCTGAAGAGATTGGTCCTTGGTGAAGAAGGATTTAAACTAAAATGAATCTTTAGCCATGACAAATAGAATATTCTGGTTATTAGGGTTAAATTTATTTTATTCTCGATAGTCTCCTTCTAGTAGTGTGAGATTCATCTGGAATTTATTTGTACTGCACTTTTGTTTTTCATGAGTGGACTGGTCCTTGCCAGCTTTAATTCCATTCTCTCTGCTTCTTCCCCACTAACTTTTTAAGATCCTCATCTGTTTCCTCCTGGTTTTGTTTACCTTTCTTTTCCGATTTAGTTACAGTCTGAAGAGCTTTCTCCTCCTTAACTTTCGGTTTGGCCTTTATTAGCCCAACTTCTGTTGTTTTAGTCTCTGCCTGCTTGACCTTCTCAGCCATCTTTGCTTCTCCTTTTCCATCCTTTACTTCCTTTTTAACTTTTGCTTCCACTTTAGTGCTCTTTACTTTCTTCTCCTCTGCAGGTAATAAAGAAAAAGCTTTCAGTGTCATTCTTTCCCCACAAAATAATACTCAATACAATTTATTTTATCTTGTGCTATTATTAATTAATATTTCTTCATTATTAACACAGTCCTCAGATATGATGAAAATGATAATCCCCCAAAACCAGACAGATTTACACAGAAATATGAGATGCAAGCACATTGTCTTCAGTCCTGTACCAAGTATTTGACTGATACTAAATATAGTAAGCTATGGCAAATAATTTTAAATTATTATAATAACAGTATGATAGATTTTATGGCATAAACTAGGGAGAGAAATGTTGTTCATTAAGGAAACAAATACAAAATCTACTTCAAGGCTAAATCTGAGGATCTTCAGACATGAGAGCTAAACTCTGTTGTAAATTGTAAAAATGAATCAATTTAAATGGTAGTTATTTGTAAGGGTCGCTTTTATGCACTGATTTTAGGTCTCTGTCCAAGAAGGCTTGAGTTCTTCAGTCTCTCTCTGCATCAATTTCCAGGCTGAAAGACTAGCCTGAGACAGGCCAATTCATGTTGTGTCCTGCAGCGGAGTGAGGTTTCCAAGGAGAACTACCAAATAGTAAATATCAATGTCTGAAACTACACAGAGGTTGGTGAGACCAGGAATATTCCTTCTGCTTGTATGTATCAGCAGATTTTTCTCATCTGAGACACAGGTGCTGACAGTATGTATGTTTCTAGCTCACTTCAGTGGAAAATTCAACAGTAGTTTAAAATGCCACTGAATATGGTTTAAACTGATCTGTTTAGTGTGATGCTCACTTCTGTTTTCTTCATAGCTCTATCTCCATCCTTGAGGCAAAACTTGTACACTACAAAATGCATGTCTTCTGTAAGGCTCTAGATTTCTACTTCTATCAAGCCACTGGGCTGACTAGAATGATTTTATCAATATGTAAGCTAAATAATTCTACCTATTCTAAACCAGAATACAGATATTCTACTGGCATTCCTTCATCCAAAGCAAACAATGGCATGACCAAGTATTGCTGACTAGTGAAGAAAGAATTTCCTTAACTAGTTATAGTGAAAATGCATATGTCATATCACTTGCAGGTAGGCCTACTTTTTTTCAGAAAAACAGTATTTCATAGCTTTAATTCTCATGTTTGAAATTTCAACACATTTTAAAAGGGATCATGCATAGGACTAAGCCCTGGATGTTCTAGAGACATTTTAATTCAAATTATATTTTAATTTCATTATGGTGTCATGTAGATGATCTTTCATATACATTATATTCTCTGCTCCAATAAAATAAAGTTTATTAATTTTAATGTAGATTCTGGTTAAAAATGTAGTATAAATAAATACCTTTGGGAGGAGATTTCTTTTCGGCTTTTTCATGTCTTTCAGGCTTCTCTTTTTGAATTACTAGAAAAGAGTACAATTGTATATTAGGGGGAAAAAAGCTCATAAAGTATGAGAAAATATTGCTAAAATGCAACAGTATCCCTGGAAATTTCATATTTCTACGTGATTCCTGTTTTTTTCCAGTTTGCAAAATTCTTGTTTCTTTTTGTCAGGTTCACACACTGGGGTAAAAAGATTCAAAATATCTGTCAGGACTCACCTAACCAGAAACAAGTCAGTCACGTAGATCTGAAGCTTTGTAGGGAACATTTATACTGCATACTCTAGATGAAACAAACTTGCTCAGCTCAAGCTCTGAGCAGACACAGTCTTGAACTTCTTGCACTCCAGCCAACGGGAAGCCATGTAGCTACATTTGTTTTACAGAAAGGTGTTTCTCTTAGCTTGGCCTCACTGTCATTCAAACACATTCACAAACCTGGTGCCCACTTCAGACCCCAGCTCAAGTGAGTTCATGTCTGCACAGGATACACTGTGTAAACACACAGTGCTACTTCCCAGAAAGGGTGTCAAAATTTGATGCAGAGACTTTTATCTCACCTCTTGCTTTCTATCCAGACACACTTCCAGATCAAAACAGCCTTGAGAGTTAATTACTTTTTTCAAGTGATAACTGCATAATAGTAGCATCCTCTCTAACTGAATTCTATCCTGGAATTGTGCTTGTATGAGCAATGATTGATATTTAGGTTTGTGGGGTTTTTTGTTTGCTTGGTTGTTGTGTTGTTTTTAGTGTTTTTTTTTTGTTTGTTTGTTTGTTTGTTTGTTTGTTTATTTGTTTGTTTTTAAGATAGCTGAGGTTTAGATGATGTATTTAAATAACATTCATACCACTGAAGCTTTCTGGAGCCTTTAACAGGGGTTGAAGAAATATCCCAAGTCTTTCTATAGAGCATAGGGAAAACCTGCTAGTCACTTGACTACCAGTAATCCTGTTCCTTCAAGCTGGCCTGGACCTAAACATCCTCATTTCCTGGGGACTGCAAGTGGCTGAAATGGCCCCTTGGCACCACTGGTAGCTGATCCAGTTTAGAACAGACCCCAGACCAAAGGGAGATGAGCCTGCCAGTGTCTAGCTCAGCACACTGCCGGCGGAAACGTGCCTTAGGAAGCACTGAAGGCAATGAGTGCCCCTGTGCACGGAGTCACCCATACGGTCTCGTGTGACATGGAATCTATTCAAGAGAGGGCAGCATCTTGTCACACCACAGCAACAAATCTCCCCAGTTACTAAGTGGCCAAATTTTTCATAAAATTTTCCAGCCAGTGACTGTAGTCATGGCTGCTATTAAACACAATAAAGCTCTAAGTGATTATTTGGTTAGCTAGCAGAAGATAAATGGGTAAATAGGCTGGCTGCTCATTAGGAATATCTCAGTTATTCTTGGAAGTTATTTGCTTTTCAAATCTACACAGACACAGTGGGCATTTATTTTCTCTGGATTACTTCAGTGTGATTTCACTTTATTAAAAAAATCCTACACTTTCAAGTTATACACTGAAAGTAAAAAAAATGACCAAATACCCCTTTAAAAGAGAGCTTGTACAATGGTTACATTTCAAAGTATTTTAAGGCTTTCAGTCTTCATTCCACTTTGTCTTCACTCCTACTTTCTGTTGTACATTTCTCCTTAGAGTAAGGTTGAGTCCAATAAAGACTGATTTCTACATTTGAATCTATATTAATTCATACAACCCATTATCATGAGATTCATTTGAATGTTAGAACAGACTGATATTAAGATACATTACATAGTACTTTTTTCAAGAGTTAATTGAGTACAAGTAAGAAGAAGCAAAGTTTGAAACCTAACTTCAGTACAGAAATATCAGGCTTCCAAAAAGCAATGCATGTAAAAAAAAAAAACAAAACCAAACCCAAAACCAACAAAAAACTTCATAGCAAAAACACTCAAATTCCAAGCAGTAATAAATGTTAGTCTTTAAAAAATGGCATAACAGGGCAAGTTGATTAGATTTTTAAATCCCTCTGTCCAAACGGTGGTAAAGATGGAATTATCAGTCAAAATAATACTAAAAATCACCTCTCATACACAATATTGCTTCAGAATTTATATGACAATTAACAGATATACAAATCTGAACCAGAGCCACTTCTCCCTTGGAGTACAGTACAAATCATGTATTGAGATGGAAATGTTATTGCAAAAAAATAAAGGAAAGAAAATGAAGATCTATTTTTGAATGTGTTGGAAGACCCAAACTGAGAGAAAGTAAACACTCTTGCATTAGGTCTGCACCAGATTGAAACTGATACGCAAGAGAAAACCTCTTTTGCAGGCAAATTAGTGAATCCCATTGTGGAGGAAAAGACATCAAGGAATGCAAATATAATAGTCATAGGTTTATTTCTTTAGCTTCACGAGAATGATTCATAATTACCTCTCCACATCAAAACAAGAGAACTAAGCAAGAAATATATGCTGAACAAGACTTCCCCCAGGTGCTTATCAAGACCTGCTCAAGCAAAAGGGAGAGCAACCAAACCCATGGTGCATAGACTACATGACCTTTATACTTTAAATACTTATCTCCACAGTCTCTCAAACTATATAAGCACTGAAAACCTAAAATTGTACATCTAATAATAACCTGCATTACCTTTAGAAGGTGCTTTCTTTTCATGTTTTTCTGGCTTTTCAGGTTTCTCTTTGTGAAGAGCTAGAAATAAATAACAACATTAATGGTTATTAAAAAAGAGAAATGTTGCATTTTAAGTGAGAAACAGGAGAGAAAAAAAATCAAGAAATACAATTAGGCATCACGGCTATCCATACAAAGAACCAGAAAGATTGATTCAGCTGCTGCTGTCTGCTGTTGATACCAAAACACGTGATTTGAACTTTCAAAAACTTGTCTACCATCCCTGAGGTTTCTGCCATCATCTGGGGGAGGAATGGCCTTTCTGACACAACTGTAATCCCATGAAAGAAGTTAGTCAAGAAGAGTCATGCTTATTTATGCCATTTCTTAGTTCATTTTGTCTTATTTATATTGTAATTTATTGGTTTATTTTGATTTATTGTTATTTTTGAGCTTTCTTGTTTATTACTGTGGTTCATTACTGAAGGATTTTGTGAACTCCACGTAACAACTAACAGTTTTTCCAGCTATGAATGATTAAACAATATAATTAATTACAAATCTAATTGCAATGGCATTATAACTAATGCTCTTTGGGGCTTTTTGTTTGCTTTTAATTTCCACTTTACAAATTGAAATAAAGTACACTGTAGTGAGTAGATTTCTGGTTCAGGCTTCAGAATACACCTGAGTTGTGAAACAGTTATTGAGTGGTAGGTAGTCTGGAATATTCTCCTATGTGGGATCTGATTTGCTAATTTTTTGCAATTAATATTTACACAGTAACTTGTCCACAGGTGTGCAGAACTGATATTTGTATGTGTTCATATTCCCTGAGGCATCCTACAGGGATGAGGCATGTGGAAGCACTCAGCTGATGATTTGACTCCAGCACATGAGTTTATACTAAGGACACAAAAAAGTATACATGAGCATTGCTATGTACTCTCCAGACTGGCATTGGTTTTTCAAAAGAACTGTGGAAGACAGCACTGCTAGATACCTATTTATTGAAAGTTACTTAAGAATTAGTCCTGTCCTATTCAATGCCTATGCAACAGCCCTACTCAGTATTGTATTTAAAAGATTTTTTTCACATGGCCTGCCTCATTACTGGTTGTCAGGTGTTTTTCCTGGATGACAGTATTCTCTTAGCGACCATACTTACTGTGAGTGTTGGAAATACTTAGAGATTACTGGGACATTATACTAATCCAGAGTATAAAATATACGTTATTTCCCTTCCTCAGAGAAAACCCCAACAAACATGCAAAGTGGTATTCAGTCTGTATGTCAGCAAGCTTTCATATGATCTCATGATCTTTATTCATAAAGTTTTATAACATTTTTTCCAACCAAGCGGATACATAAATGGAAATTGAGTAGATAATTAGCTCTGGGGTACCTCAAAATATAAAATAAATTCTGATGTTAAATCATTACCTGCATGCCTTTCCTTTTTTTCAGGTTTTTCTTGTCTTTCCAGTTTGTCTTTATGTGTCACTAGGAGAGAAGAAATGTGTTCATATATATTAAAAAAAAAAAAAAACAAAACAAAAAAAAAAAAAAACCAAAACCAAACTGTGGAAAAGACTCCAGATTCAAAAACACTTCTACCAAGATAAGCCTTAGGAGACAAAATGGCTAACTCTGTTACTCCTGAGCTATACCATGCATATCTTCCCAGCGTATATCACAGTACATGGGTGTGAGCAGACAACTCTGGCTAAGAAGTTACTGCTTACCATCCAAGCCACTGTAACACGCCACAGCTGTTTACTACATCATTTTTTACAACTGTCTGTCCACTCCTAAACAGAGGTTTTCAGAAAACTGTCAAGGACTAAGGCAGAGCTCACAGTAAATATTGCTGCCTGCGCTAGAAAGAGGACATCACCTGGGCCACCCCATACTCTGTCAGGCAGAGGCTCATTAAAACCCTGGAATCAGTCCTGGAGCATAAGAGCATCACGTGCACAAATGACACATCTGTCACTTGCCAGCTGGCTTGAAATGGATAACCAGTAATGGATCCAGATAGCCAGTAATGGATACAGATAGCTAGTAACGGACACTAGCTCAGATCAGTCCCTGGCAGTGATGATCACAGAGCCATAGTTAGATGCCCAGTATGTGCAAAGTAAAAACTAACATTGTGGCAGTGGAAACTGTATTATGCTATCCACTCATCCACATAACATTTTCCACTCACTTTTCGTAGGATTTTACACAATAATTTTCCAGACAATGGGAAATAAGCATGTGGATTTAAGAGCACTTCAGAAAAATCAGCCGTGAAACTGCAAGCTAGCTCGCTTTAACTCTAACTCCTGTGGAGATTTTATCCCAGTTTAGTAAAATTCCCTTTGTCAAATATGAGAAAATAAGGAAGTTCTTTTACAGTACTGTGAATTTCATATCTAACTGTAAGCAAAAGAAGAATCAGGCTCTCAGATTTTTTTAGCAGTATAATGGTAAAATACATGAAAAATGTGTTCCTGACATAGCTGACTGAGTCACTTCTAAGTGACTGAGACCCTTCTAATTATTCTTTGTGTCATTAGATAACTTTCTTAAACTTCATCACAGAAGTTGATTAGAAATTAGAGAAGGATGTTATTTGCTCTTTCCATTATCTAAATCTTGTAAAGGGAATACATTTTAAAGTAGAAAATGAGCAGTTAAAATACAGGGATGCAGTGAAACTTTGGAGTTTCCCAGTCACATTGTAATGAAATAGGCCTTAGAAAGACACATATCCATAGTACTAGTTTTAAAGTATAATGTACAGTCCAAAAGCAATACTTCTTAGTACTATGAATATAGACAATCTCTATTCACAGTAGTGTTTAGTAGCAACTGCAGCAATAGTTCACTAAACAAAACTAATACATTCACCTTAAGATGAAATACAGTTAGGTATACAGACATGTTCTCAGAATGTTTTAAGTGTTTCAACAAGTAGATGTGTTCCAACAAAATTCAATTTTGCCAAAAAATCCCTCACAAGGGGTAAACTAGATGGTGGCTCTTGGAACCCAGAACTAGCTCGTGAGTCGTGGGTGGAGAGGAAGCAGTATCCTGATTCTGACTCCTACAACAGGCGGATCTGTAATTTGTTGTTGGCATACAGCAACAGCAAATTAGTAAATCCTCTCTAACACCCTCTCTCTAACGTCTCTAAAATAAGTCTGGTGAAATTCTTTTTCAAAGGCAGGTCTCTGAAGCAGAATGCCTCCAGGGACCGTGCCCTGTATGTTATAATTTACTCATTATGTTTTGCTCAGAAGTATTCCCAAAGACAAATATTATGCTTGGAGTTATTCAAGAAGAATAAAAAAGACACCTATTTATGCTCTGGGCATCTTTTACATAAGTTAATAATACAGTAAAAACTTATTCATTAATCTCTGAATATAACTTTAGCCTCTCTGCAGATTGATGAATTCAAAGTGCTTTTAAAATCCGCATTCTCCTTCCAGCTAACTTTCACACCACCTCCTCCATCCTTAAACATAATTGGGATTTACAAGAAGGGTCTAAGAGTCAATAGATTAGACTGTTTTGAAACACTGGTAAAGACAAAGAACATCAAATGCTGAAAACATACCTTTTAGGGGTTCCTTCCTCTCAATTTTATCTTGTTTTTCAGGTTTGTCTCTGTGGATTACTAGAAATAATTTAAAAAACCCACAATAAATCTATAATCTGGAGGTATGACGTACATCTATTTTTTCACCAAAGCAATCGAGAAGAAATATTTGTAAATTCAAATAACGGATTTTAGCTCTGAGTCTCGTGTATTAGATGATGTATAGACATTCTTAATGTCAATATTTAATTCCAGGTCCAAGAGAAATATTTTTCCTTGAATAAGTCTTCAGATGTTAGACTGTATTTTTGCAAAATAAGTGACTGTTCAGCAACCTGAATCAAATCTGTGGGATCTCTTTTGGTCCCATTACACAAGCACCCTGACTCTAAGATTTCTGACAGAGGAAATTATTTTCAGTCCCTGACAGCATTGCTTTCTATTCTTAAAAAAAACCCCAACAGTTGCCATACTGTTTTCTGTGCTCTTTTTTTATTTTTACCTGTTACTTCATCCACAGGATGGATTAAAAAGAAAACATCTCTTTTAATCAGAGCGCAACTTCAGGGAGAGCAGCTGTTCAAAACACAACCAACTACCCATCCTGCTAGAAGCTGGCAAACATGAGTCCTTATGGCCCCTATTACCCACCCGACTTTCAGACCATGTTTTTGGACATGGCTGTATTCCACATTCTAATGATTTAGATAGACAAATATGTTCCTTGTCAATCTCTACTACTAAAAGACTAACATTTTGCAGTTTCAGGGAAAAATATTTTCTTTGCAATACTCAGGCTTCTGTCAAGAAGTAAACTACGGAAAACACAACTCTGATTAGAAGACAACTGTGAGCTTTATACACAAGCACAGTAGTGTTTTTGCATACATTCAGTTCATCAGCTTGCTAGAAAATGTCATTTCACAAAGGTGCAAGCATTTTTTTGTCAATTAAATATTTCCTCATTAAAAAATAAGTCCATGTCTTTAAGAAAAATCATTCCAAACATTCAGTATTTTCATTATGTCTTGGGTGTGTTTGCATTATTCCAATAGATTTCCAGTCATAACAGGTAAATTATTGCTGATAACAATTAGTACAGTGGAAGGATATTGAAGGAAGATTTTTGAAAACATTTAAGGAATGTGGACAGCCAATTTACACTAAAAAGACAGGCTGTGAAGAATCCAGCAACACCAACAGTGTATTACTGAATGAATTACAGACTGTAACTCATTCAATTGCTTTAGGATATCTAGTAGCATACCAAGGAAAAGCAGTCTCCTCCTTCCAGACACCATGTAGAACTTAGACTGAATATTTTGTCAGAAACTGTAGCATGCTTTTACATCTTATATTTGTATTAGAAGCTGCTAGCTCTGTGCAAAACACTTTGAGCCAACATGTTGTCAGTTTTGGATGGGGCAATAGCACAGTTTTTCAAACAATAGCTCTGTGAGGGTCAGTGGCAGTGAAACATGAGCTTTCGCACATTGGACAAAAGCCCTTGTAGTCTCTATGTCAAAGAATATAGCTGAACTATGCAGAACAGACTGGCAATCAGAAAGCTTGTTTTTAGACACAGAACATCTTACTTGTGTAAAGGAGACTGTTGTAGGTTTCTTAAAATTTATTCTAGTTTATCCATAGCTTTTCCCTATTTAATGATTTGGAAAACAAAACAAAACAAAACAAAACAAACAAAACAAAACAAAACAAAACTAAACCAAACCAAACCAAACCAAACCAAACCAAAACAAAACAAAACAAAACAAAGCAAGCTTTGAATGACACTAACAGAACTAAGTGTCCGCAGACCTTAAAGTGGACAGAAGATTGTAATTTAAGGCTCCTTCAATTCATCAAAATGGTCTAAAGGGCTAAAATGCAGGGAAATATTAATATTTGTGTGGATTCCAATATAAAAACATGGAGAAGGCATCAGTGGACTCCTTCTTAAGAAATAAAAGTAGCTTGATGTATCTGGGCAGGGAGCCTGGAATGTGGATAAGCAGAGATCATGCTGGCATAAGCATAAGCTATTTTCCTCTTCCCAGTGATAGGCTGAATGCGATCTCTGGTTTGTTCCAGTCCTATCCTGTGTGTTGATATCCCCACAGCCTCAGTGTTTGCTAATCTCAGATTGTAATGTTTACCGTCACCTCTTATGGACACTGTCAGTGCTATGGCTTTTGGGTAGAACCTTATCCGGGAAGGGCAGGTGTTGCCAAAAATTAAAGGGTTCGTGTTTCAGGGCTGTGATGACTGGCCATTTCTGACTCTCCAATCACAGCGCAGTAGGAACACCAAAGTCCACAGAAGCTTTTGATCTGGCAAACTGAAATATGATTTTTTTTTTGCTTATTAACTCTTTTTTCCCCACTGAAATATTTTCATGTTCATCTTCATATGTAGTCCTAAAAGCTCTGTCATAGGAAATACTTCACTGTCTACAGATCTTTTCCAGATTTAGTCACTTTGATACCAATTTCTCTGTAAAGGACTTTATGCATGCCTTGTTTCAAGCCTGCAGCACTTAGGTGCAAACATTAGGTTTTAGAAATAAGACAGGCTGGTCATACTTCCATGGTTCTGTGAAACAAATTCGAGTTAATAAGATTTTCTTTTGCATCTAAAAACCAAAGAGAAAGCACATAAAACTGTTTTTAAGGCTACTAATTCAAGCACTCTTTGGGTGAAAAATTCTGGAACTAAAACTGTTCATTCAACTTTAATTCAACCATTTTATTTGCTTTATGTTACACTTTATAATTAAAAGATCACCTCTTTTCTTTTTTTTAATAGGGTGCTGGATTCATCCATAAAAAATAAGAATAACTAAAACTAGTTTTATGACAAGTGTATAAGCTAAAATTTTCCCACAACTTAAAGAAATCTTCTTGGACTTTCTTGCAAATACCAAAAAAGTATAAACTCAGAATAAACTGTTATTAGCATTGGAAAAATATAACACCCCAACCTAATTCTCACTAACCTAGATTTTGGAAATTGCTGAAACATTTTTATATGACTTTGAATGAAAATTCAGCCTGAGGCAAAAAGATGAGCATGAAAAATTTCATCCTCAGTGACTGGAATGTGGTAAATTTATAAATAATCTAAAATAGGGGCTTATAATGGAAAATTTGAAGGCAATTTAACAATATATTCCAAACTTAATCATATAAGAATATTGCTATCTACCTCACATACAATTAAAAACAAGAACTATAGCATATATCTGAGAGATTTTACCATATATCTGAGAGATTTTACCACATTTCAATCATCTAATAGTATATTTGCATCAAGTGGGACCATAATGAAGGGGGATGAGATTTAGTTTTTCTTCATTAAAGTGTTTGAGACAGAGACATTCCCCACTCCAAAAAAAACAAGTGCAAAAAAAAGAGATGCAATAAGGAGGCACTAATTCCATACCTAAGGGAAGTAAAAATAGTTTCCAGCTGAGTAAGTCTTAAGTCTGCTGCTTAGTATAAAACTAGGTGATGAGTGCAGTGAGCATGAAGCAGAGATTGCTTGCTCCATCTAACTGACTAAGTGCTTGTCTACAGAGCAACACTCAGGAAAGTTAAGATAAATGAACTAATACAATGAAGTTAGAGTGCATTAGTCAGAGAGCATTAAATCTCTGTGTAGATGCTTTTATTCAGAAGTAAAGTAACCTTAGATGGCTATATCTTAATTCTTGAAGGAACAGTCAAAAAAGAAAAAGAAAAAAAAGTAAAAGGAAAGGAAAGGGCTTGATCTGGAGAGGGGTACAGGTTTCCAGGTCCAAAACAATAATCTAAGGAAATCCCAGCAACTGATGAATTGTGGAGACACCCGCACTCATTACAAACCACCTCAGTTACCTGTGAAGAGGGAAGAGGCTTGCCTCTGAGTTTGATCAGATCTTCCCCAGTGGGCACCAGACATGCATATGCTGCTCACTGCAGCACGTAACCCTGTGCGGGATTTAGCCCTTCAGCACTGAACATAAATGCTTACATAGGAGAAAAAATGAATGTCTCATGAACTACGTGTTTGTACAATTTAAAATTAGATTTAATTGCAATAGAGTCAGACATTGTTACATCCATCTGAACTGAGATTTAGTTCTGACACCTACTAGTGGTAGTCAAACTGACCACAGCATTGGCTTCACCCTAGGCTGCTGTAAGACCATACAGCTAAATAAATACTTGACAGATGTACCTGAGCCACTATAGCTATAGCTATGTTGGTATCTATAATGTTACCTAGTTTAAAATTAACTCAGGTATATCGGTAGCCATACCTCCAGAAATCAGGGTAGACAACCCCTGTATCAAACATAAATATGCCATTTAACTTTCTAATTTTGTCAGCTTATGTGGGTTTCTAGTATACTGTGGATTTGTATGGTCCAGCTCTATTTATCTATTTAGCTATCTCAGATATCTTGTCTTCCAGTTACAGAAAATTAAATTATGGGGATACATTATATTTGTCTCATAATTATAATCTCATAATTTATCCATATGCTAAAATACAGTCAGCTTTATTCTGTCATGTTTAATATTTGTGTTATCAATATGACCTTATTAACAACTCAATAGAGGTAGGAGGGACAGATATATGCTAGGCATAGTAAATGAAAAGGTTTTGAAGGGCCTGGAATCTATTTGTCAAATCAGGCTGAATTCAAAGATACTTTCTGTTAAAAAACAGAGGCCAGTGTCAATTCAGAGGCACACAAGTATCTGTCTTAAAATCACTGTGATTTAATGTACGGCTGTCAGAGGTAGCATTTCATCACCACCTTGTCTTCTTCCATCCCTCACTCCAACAGCAATGTATGAGTGAATGTATTTTGGAAAAGCCGCACAGGAGACCAACCTTTTCCCATTCCCTCTCAATGCTTGCTGTAATAAAACGTTTCCCGGAAATGCAGGACAACTCATTTCACTGCTGAATATCAGTTTTTCATAAAGATCAGAAATGATCGGTCCATTTGGATTATCACTGGACCCTCCGTCGAACAGAAGCTATATGCTTAGATCTACTTTTATCTCAATGTATTTTGCTGCCAAAAAATATTGCATAGTTGCCTCTTATTCATTGATAGTAAGAACAATTACAGCACCTACTTCTTAAAGAGCCTTCAGCAGCGGCTCAGAGTCTCGCAAAGCCTGTGTACGTCGCAAAGTGACAGACTCGCAGGGCAGCTGCCCCAGGCTGAGGCCGCCCCATCCCTCGGCCTCTCCCCTCGGGACCACGGCTCCAGCCCTCACCTCTGCAGCGGCCCCACACTGAACTCGCCCCAATTTATGGATGGCTCTCCTGAGCTTGGAGGCCCAGGGCTGCACACAGAAACTAGATATGGTCTCACTAGGGCTGAGTACGGGGTGTAATTAATCCCTTACCTCCACTGACTGGCCGAGCTCCTGCTCATACAGTCCAGGGTGCTGTTGACCCCTGTGGAAGTAGTAATTCATCAAGTATCAAAAGGGAAAGACCCTATTTTGTCGTGAATTTGCGCTTCTGTGTACACATAATCATGAAATAATTTAATATCAGTGCTCTTAAGCAAGAGCAAATGCTTTGTTAAATCATTTCTCAGAGTATTTCTTTTTTTCAGGATTAAACTGACTAAGTACAATAATTGAAATGGACTTTATTCCTAGTAGTTTATCAAAATATTTAATTAAATGCAAATTTCAGGGCACAAGTGTGCCTGGCTCTTAATACCGTAAGAACCTTTCTTATAATTTCAGCCACTTCCATCTGGGATTTTCATTCATTTTATCTATTCCTCATATTTCAGTACAATCTTTTCAAAATGAGGCTTATGGATGGAACTCCCTTGTAAATCTTGGGACTTAGATTCAAGGGGTTTGACTATTCAAAAATATACTTAAATTTATTTTTATAAGTCTAGTGCCCCCATGTATTTGGGTGGAGGACTGAAATTTATTTGGGGTGTTTGCTTCTATTTAAAACATTCATTTTGCCTCTGGATTTTTCATATTGAACACAATAAAAGATTATATTTGCACATGCTTCCTGGAGGTACTTTAAAAGGCAACAGTAAAACTCCCTAAAGATTGATACCTTTATCGTGCTCTAGCTTGAGACCAGACAGAATGTTTTCTTGTAATTGTTCCTCCTATGTAGAAGATGAATTTTTAGGACTAAATATGAAAATGAGAAACAGAAAAAAAATTTGTCCTGTGCTTCAGTAAGTGATTGTATAATTAAAGACTGCATTATGAGACATATGCATAAAGGGACTTAACTAATGACACCTGAATGCTTTTTTTCTGGCATCTTATAACTTCTTAGTAATCATTTCTGCAATGTTAATATTCTTCTATGTAAAGCAATGCACTTCTATATATATGAAATGGTACACAAGAGGCTGTTTTTGTCATTTGTGTTTTTAGAATACTGTGCTTGAAAAGGCCTTAGCTGGGATTCCTTGATAATGGATCTGGGTTCATTATTGCCTGGCTAGCCCACTGATACTCTAAAAAAATCATTTTCATACAACATTATTTATTAAGTAGTTGAGAAGCCATCCTAGGCACTCCAGATAACCCTGATTAGCACAGAACTGGAAAGTGAGCACTAGAGTTGTAAAATACTATAAAACCATATAAAAAATATGTACAGAAATGAATATAATTGTGTGAGGGAAGGGGTATGCATATATAGACTATTTTTAATAAGTTTCCTTCTTGCTTCCTTCTGCCATTACTAAGCACAGCACTCGTGCATCAGAGACATGCTCATCAAATTTTATGTGGCCTAACCTTTACAGAGGAGGCTTTCTTAAGCAAAAAAAATCTGCACATATCCCAGGAAATTTCTTTGTGTACATGACCTCTGAAAACCAGTCTAAACCAGTTCCTCTGTGAATTTTTTGGAAAGTGCCAGTTAGAGGAGATTAAACAGTCTGAAAAATAGCAGGTTCTTAAAATGGAGGCTTTTCTTATCTCTGATACACACCTGGCTCACTGTTAACTGCGACTTCCTAACTTGGATGGCACCCACTGGCCTATGAATTTACTTTCTTCCTTGCCCAACACACTTCACACATTTTGCACCAGAGGAAGTTCATCAGCACTCTACTTTCTTGCACCTTTGCTACAGAAAAGATTTCTGGATAAGTTTGGGCTGGAGAATCTTATGAATGTGCATTTACAATGTAGTCACACAAACATAAAATGACACTATTTGTTAATGTGTAAGCATACATGAATTTTTGATCATTTACTATCTATGCCAACTGATCTTTGTTTTTGTAATACAGCAGTGGTATCATATAGTTAACAAATATACTGTATATAACATACATATATGTAGGTAAATAGATGAAAAGATACAGTTACCCTTCAATGGTGTTCTTTTTTCATGTCTCTCCAGTTTCTGTTTATGAATTTCTGAAAAAAATGCAATGTAGAGTTATCAATATTAAAATAATTTTAACACACAAAAATATCAGATGCATTCTCACAACAAAAAAATAAGTGCCTCAAATATTATAGCAGAGATATGGCTTTATTATCTGCATATTCAGAATTATATACAATAAAGTTCAATTTTATAGATATAATTGCAGACAATATATATGGACTGAAATCATAAAATAAAGTGACTTTAAAAATTATTCTGTTTTTAATTGAGCAATAGAGCTACTTTTGAAGTCAAGAATAGGTTTTGTTGATCTGTAACAGCTATACAATAATGTGTTGGTCATGAATCGGAAAAAACATGCTTTTACTAAACATTTTTCTGTATGTATCTTAAGCTGTTTACCAGGATTAGTATTTTATGTTTTCCAAATTACCTTTGGATGGAAAAAATGTTCTTTTTACTACATTTTCTAAATTTTCTAAAGCTCACATGCTGATTTGGTAACTCCAACACACAATAAAAGGTAGACTCAATGCTGTATACAAACTACAGAGATAAAATTTTCCAGGTTAGGGATCGTTGTCTCAGAGAATGACTCATTTTAATCATGCTGTATACCAAAACACTGAGAACTGCCTTGTTAGAAGGGAAGTGGTGCAGCATTTACTTGTCCTTGCCATGACACCTCTTCTGAACAAAATTCCTCACCTGTGACACTGATATGAATTTATTGCTATATACCTCTGTAACTGATTTTTTTTCCTACTGTTCTTATTGTGCCAAATCCAGGATAATGTTGAAATTGCAAAATGTTGAATTTTAGAAAAAGCAAGCCAGAATTACATTAAGCTTGCATAGCACTGTTTGCATACAGTAGTAAAAATTTAAAGGCCATTAGTTATACGTATGCAATAAAGTCATTAAACTATGCATATATTTCTTGCAGTAGGAAACTGGTATAAAATACTAGATCAAAATTGCCTTTGACAAAAGCATATGTAAATTTCACTAGACTCTATGGGAGATGCCTCCTTGTGTTTTAGAGTTAGATTTGGTCTGCAGGATCTAAACAAGAAGAACACTGAACACAGAATTAATCTAACAGAGATAAAGTTATGCATATTACATCTCAACTCTAATGAGTTATTTTAATGCCTGTTGAAGACAACTGAAATCTTCCACTTATACCCTTAGTTATTTGCTCAGGTTGTAACAGGATGTACATCACCAAAATATTTTTTTGGATAGTACTTGCCACCTGAAATAATGATTGTGTCTGGTTTGAAAGAAACGTAACTGTTTTATGGCATCAGCCTATGTTGTCTTCAGCTTGAGATAATATTATTTCACCACGATAAAGGGTAACAAAGTCCAAAATACATATCACTGTTAGGCACTAATGTATGGCAGAATAACCAAGCTAATTATACAATGTCATTAAGCTAAAAGGACTTTTTATTCAGTTTTCATCTTGTTCTTTGCAACCTGGGTGTGCAGCTCATTTATTGCTCTATAAACCTCAAAGGTTGTGATTAGGAAGAAATCATGCCATATTGATTTACTGTATTTCAGCTGAGCCTGGATTATTTTTCTTTCTGCAACTACGTGAGGATTTTTTTCTATCAACTGAGAGAATCAAGTTGCTGGATTTTCAAATTTTTCCCACCTGTTCTGCTTAAAAGGATGCATAAACTAGTTTAGGTGGTATAAGAGGTAGGAATGGTGAAAGACAAGAACAGCCGGAGGATCGCTCCCTGATTCTGAGCACATTTGAGCGGTTCTCCATGCCGCTGCTCAGGACTGTCTGCAAACCCTGACTTAGTGCATTTAAAGAAAGCTGAGTCACTTCCTCTGCATTGCAACATACAGCAGAGAACATATCTTGCCCAGCTCAAGAGGTCATCCTACACACAGAGATGAATACGGCCCACTAAGTGATAAATCACATTCTTCAAGCAGAGTCATCTACACGAACACATATTTCTTGCTTGCCTTAAGATGCTTCAGCTCTGCTGGGTTCCGACCATCTATTATGTGTCTCACTACAGAAAATAAGCCTAATTTTCTTGAAAAAATAAGTATAAACCCTTGTTATTTCAAAGAAGTGCTTTAAAAGTTATTGTGGTTTTAAGGAATTTCTTATTGCTAGTTTGAATGCAAAACAAGTATGAAGCAATGACCGCAGAGCTGGCGATCTAAATCAGCCTCATGTTGTATCATCAATGAAGCTTACTTGTCAAAAATACTTCAGTAAGATACACAAAAAGATACTCTAGACAGCTGCACTGAGCATCTCATCTAACTTGCTGCTACAAATAGGATACCACACATCACAAAAAACCCTACACAAATTCCTTGAAGTGAAATATATCTCCATATTCCGTAAGTGTGTGTATATATGTTTTTATATACTGAAAACTCTGCCATCATTAAGATCTCTTCATAGGCTCCCCATTATAGTTTGAACCATCATAAAAAATTGAAGCCTGGAACACATCAATTCTAATACATTACGACTTAAATTTTCCCAGCACAAATAAATCTAGTCTTAATACACACCGATCTTGATCAATTTACAAGACAGAAAATAGTGACTCTTTGCTAACTCCAAAATATTTAAAAGAAGGAAACACATTAGGTTATTAGAGATTTATTTTTCTGTTCTGAGAGTTTTGATACTCTCTGCTTCATCTTTTATGACAAATAGCTTTAATTTTCTAGTAATCACATCATATCTTATTGCTGAGTTGACAAAGCTACTATAATATTATAGAAGACTTACATGGCCAGTTTAAAGCATGTAATTTATCTCTATCAGTGTGACACATTGTTAATAAATCCTAAATATTATGAATTCATGTTTAGAAAAATGACAGAACCAAGCAGCAGCAAAAATAATCTTTGTCACCACGGCAACCATCCCGATTCTTTATGAGATGACAGCACAGTTTATTAAATTATTGTAAGGTAGTATGTATTTTAAAAGCTGTATTTCATTGTTTGTTTTCATTGGTTATCAAGCAGACATGAAAAATTATCTTTCCCCTTGCATTTCTTGGGTTTTGAATGGATAAATACTTTATTTCCTTAATTTTGGATACTGCTTGACACTGACTTCTCTAGACCTTGGGTCCTGTGCAGATATACAGAACATGCTGGATGATTATTTTAAATAACTCCAAGAAGGGAAGCTAGTAGTCTCCTCACTGACCATTTCAAGATGCTGAAAGGAGGTATATCCAACTCCAGGGTTAGCAGGCTGATATATCTACGCACTGTTGACCCAAAGCAGGCCCACACAAAGAGCTGAGGATCAGTATCACAGGCAGCTTTACTTAAAATCCCTGCTGAACATGGAGTTTGGGCACTATCTTCCCCCACACCTCACTCAGCTAATTTTCATTAACAGCAGTTCACCATATCTAATGACTGCCCAGAATTTGGTTGTACAATACAAAGCCCCAGCTCCAGGAAGGTCAGGTTGGCAGAAAGAGAAAAAGATTACAGTCCCCTGAATCCATGTGAGCCAGGGGTGCAACAGTGTGCAGGAAGACCACAGCACCTCATGGCAGGGCACGAGGAGATTCTCCTGGTTCCTGAAACAGAGTTGCTTTCTCCGTCTGCTCTCATGTTTCTGATTCTGAATTTTGGTATCTCCTTTTTTAACATAGTAAAATATATAGCATTATTCTTAGCTACTTTAATTGTATTGTGTTATGATAGCACCTATGGGCCTAGCCCCACATGAATTACTTTAGGTACCACATAGTGTTATAACTGCATGTTGTTGGTTGACAAGAAGCTCAACAATGTGCGCTTGTGGCCCAGAAAGCCTACTGTATCCTGGGCTGCATCAAAAGAAGAGTCACCAGTAGATTGAGGGAGGGGATTCTCCCCCCTCTACTGCAATCTCGTGAAACTCCACCTGGAGTCCTGTGTCCGGCTCTGGGGCCCCTAACTTGTCCATGAAGGACATGAGCCTGCTTGAATGGGTCCAGAGGAGGCCACGAAGATTATCATGGGGCTGGAGCACCTCCCTTATGAAGACAGGCTGAGAGAGTTGGGGTTGTTCAGCCCGGGGAAGAGAAGGCTCCAGACAGACCTTATAGCAGCCTTCCAGTACTTAAAAAGAGCCTACAAGAAAACTGGAGAGGGACTTTTTACAAGGGCATAGTAGTGATAGGAAAAGAGGTAATAATTAAACTGGAAAAGGGTAGATTTACAGTAGATGTAAGGAAGAAGTTCTCAGCTGTGAGGTTGGTGAAACACTGGAACAGGTTGCCCAGAGCAGCTGTGGCTGCCCCCTCCCTGGAAGGGTTCAAAGCCAGGTTGGACGGGGCTGGGAGCCCCCTGGGCTGGGGGAAGGGGGCCCTGCCCATGGTAGGGGTTGGAACTAAATGATCTTTAAGGTCCCTTTCAACCCAAATCATACTATGATTCTATGATGATGCCATCTCTGTATGACAGGACTTCAAACTTTAAGAGGGCTACATTTCTTCTCCTAGTAGGAAAGCAGAGCCCCACATATTGCTTCATTAGAGGATGAAGTGGTGAATAGCAATATGGTATTACTAAACCAGCTCTTAGTCCCCACCCTTTGTTTCTGTCTTGCAGATGAAATATTCCTTAAAAACAAACCAAACCAAACCAAACCAAACCAAACCAAACCAAACCAAAACAAAACAAAACAAAAGCAAATAAAAAATGTCAGTGATATGAGATACAAAGTGAGAACAAAGGGGATTATTGTACCCATCTGAAACACAAGAGCGCTTTAGTTGGTAACCCAGAAAGTCAGCAAGAGAACTGGGAATTTAACTCTGATCCCTGACATTCAGTATTATCTCCTTATACTTAAAGACATCCTATTTCTACTTAAATACTGTAGTGACAATGGAACGTAGGTTTAGTGTATCTACTCTTTTAAAGGTATAACTGAACAGATGGAATTTTACTTGAAATGATAACACATTGTTTTTTCTAAGCAAATTTCACCAATTGGTCATCTTTTTTATAATCTCTTACA